ATAGAAAAGGTTTATTGAAGAAAGGCTCCCAAGAAAGGAAGAACCTATGCAAGTACTGTATGATATTTTTGGCATACCAACACCCCAAGAATTCGCTGAACATACAAGCATGAAAAGGGAAAACATACAGAAAAACTAGAGTTTGACTCAAAAGAAATATAAAGTTCAGTACATGGTGAACTCACTAGAAAGAGGAGGGAATGAATACTAAAAAATAAAATATTTACTAACAAAAATAAACGCAAAAGGAGGGGATGTTGTGGAGTAAATAAGACAGATGAACTAGGCAAGACACCTTAAGTAAAGAACTCAAAGTGAGCCAATAGAAATTCATTGGAGTCAGTCGGAGACAATTGTAGTGATGTCACAGCAAGTAGCATTAGCAAGACATAATATTATAACTGCTAGAAGTGAGTTATAACAGCAGCTTATATGGAGATACCAGTGAATCTTTTCATTCAGTTGTTTGAAAGTATCAAAAAGAGATTTTTATAGCAAAAATATTACTAGCAATACATTTTTGTAAAAAAATATTGACAGCAATACATTAAAAAGAAAAAAAAATTACCAGCAATGCACTCTCAACAAAATCCCTTTTTACAAAAATACGTCAATGAAACCCAATCTACAAATTGATTTCTTACAAAGAATACATATTCTATTCATAAAAACCTATCCTAAATATCTTGTTGGTATTAAATAACCCATTGAAGTTGATATGCCGTAAAAGAAAGTAAACCAAACCAAACAAATGGTACAAATTGCAAAGGATGCAATCAAAATCTAGGGAGGCTTGTTCAAAGAAAGAGGGAGAAATAAAAGAAATGGAAATATGGTAGAATCTGATGGAGTTGTTATGCAATTCCTTGAGCATGAAAGCAGAAAGCATTTTTTGTCGGATTGTCTGCAAAGGCACTTTGAAAATGCTACGATGACAATTCATCTCACACTCATTGCAGGATTAGCAAGCAGAGAGCAGGAGGTCAAGCTAATTGTATAATTATCTAGGGAGCATTCTTGATTGTATGAGCCAATTCTTCACGTTACAGATTTGGTGAGGGAAGAGAAACAAAAAGGGAAGAAGAATAGATCATTCCTGTGACAATTTGTGGAAGAAACTTGAAAATTCTCTCCAGAATCTATCATATCTATAAGTTCCCATCATTTATCTCCCTTAGTTACTGCTGGTTTTATAAGGAATGCTTTTGGACCCAACTCTGTCCAACTACTTCCGGCTCAGACCCACTTCTAGCAAAAGGACTAGAACCAATCCAGCTTATAATCCCTCTAATTATCTCTGATATTCTAAGTATCGTTGTTTTACACTACACTCTCTGGACATGCATCCCTTTTGGGAAATGTGTGCATATCTCTAACAGCCAGCTAAATAACTTTCTTGGTAGTTGATAAATCTGTATATGAACCTGTTGAAACTTGACTAATGCATGGAATAATAATGCAACACAAAAGGTACTTAGAACAAAATGTATTGAAACAAGAAAGTGTACATAATATTTACATATAGTCTTTTGTATATTCCTGGTAAGACCGTTCCTGGAGAATGTGTTGACTGAGTCACAGTCAGGCAGACTCTGGATTGGATCTCCTGATTCCTCTCACTCTCTTCCCGGGACCAACCATATTTATATGGTCGGTACTCCACTATGCAAATTAGGTGGATCCTACCACAACAGAACCCTAAAGTTACTTCAAAGTTTTAATTCCTGAAAGGCATTTAGCTGACTGTTAAAGACATGCACGTGTTTCCCAAAACAGATACATATCCGGAGACGATACACTACCATTCGTCCATGCATAGAATATTGCTGCCACACATGGTCTGTTACCCCTGCTATTTACAATGAGTTCTTTGATAAAATCCAAAGAAGAATCAGCAATATTACGGGTGCTGAACTGGCAGCTCAGCTTCAATCAGTTTCCCACGCCATAAAGTTGTCTCTCTGTACCTTTTCTTTACTTTCATGGTAATTGTTCAGATGAACTCTTCACTATGGTACTTAGACTTTTTAAATTTAAGCACAGTAATAGACTGGCATCAAGATCTCATCAATTTACAGTTGAACTGGCTAGATGTTGCTGTAAATTCTATGCTAACAGTTTTTTTCTCACACTTCTAGCTTGTGGAACTCCCTTCTTGCTCCATGCTTTCCAGCAAACTTTAATCTGCAAAAATTTAAATGCAATGTCATTCGCTATCTACCGTCCTCCTGATTACTCTTTTCTCTTCCCATTCATTAATATTTCTGTTCCTAATTCTTCCAAACCCTGTAACTCATTGAGTCTTAGTGGCTTTACTACCTTGCATGAAGAGAAACCAATTAAAAAAAAAAAAAAAAAATGAAGTTAACAGAAATATTCTTGATTAACAAGCCTATAATGACAAATCTTTGAGTGTAGTTGGGCACAAAAAAAAATCACAAGATGATCTTTTATTTTGCCAATGTCCCTTCTGGACATTAATGATCATGGCTCTTCACACTTTCCTGTCCTTTGTATCTCATACTAAATTTTATCCTTTTGTTATCTCTCCTAAACCATGCTCCACCATTCAATTACCAAAGCTCACTTTGTAGGTTATGCATTGGTTTTTCCTTTGTCTCTCTTGCCTTCAATCTATCCTGTGAGTATCAAATTTTCTAAGCCCTCTTTCCTCATTATGTGACCTAGATCTTCCTGAGTGTTCTTTTTGTTTCCCTTTTCTGCTGATAAAAAATCCAGGTACCCTCTGGTATAATACATGGAATTAAACATTTTAGTTGTGGATAAATGAAGAGTTGCAGGTGGTTGATGAAACTGACATTAGAATTGAGCTGGAAGACAAAGATGTTCATGTTAGTAAAAAAAAAAAAAAAAAAAAAAAACCCTGAAACTTGATGTTTTGTTGATAAGAGATCTGAGGTGCAAATTACAGAAAACAAGAAGGAAACATCTGACTCTGGTAGGGAGAGAAAGTAGAGACTAAATAAATCAAGATAAACCCATGAATAAAACTGTTGTGCAATAGGCACTTCCGGGTAGGACTATTTGTAAAGCACAGTAATCAAAGAAATTTTGGTAAATGAAAAGATTGGATCAAGGTGAATGTAGTTGGAGCAGATCAACAAAGCTCAGTAAATTGGAATAAAATTTGTTGGTGGAGAAAAGTGGGTGACTTGGAGCTGGTGTTGGCAGCGGTGGTGCATACTACCACCAACCTCACTGATCAGTGAGGGGAGCCCAAGCCTGATAGAGGGCTCTGGGCAGCTCTTTGTGACCCTTGCTGTCTTATCAAAATTTGCTTTTTTTCTATCTACATTAAACTAAGCACAACCAACTATTAAAGGATGAAAAATTTTTATGGATTTTAACATTATTCTTTTTTTTTTTTTTCCAAATTCCTGAATTTGTTTTGCTCATGCTAAGTCTTGAAAAAACACTATATAAAATTCAATATTTTTTCATCCATAATGTTGAATGTGTTAAAATTATTTAACAATAAAAATCTCAAGTTTATATTAATAATTGCTGCAAAACATTGTTGATTTATTTAAGATGGAATGATCTATGTCTCAAAATTTGTATTTAGACATATTGTATTTATTTTCAATTTTTCTAATTGAATTGTTCACTTATATTGCATATGATGCTTTATTGTACATAATTAGGGTACAATAAAGTTGAATTTTATATGAATAATACCTTATGAAAACTGAGATATAGAATGGGGAGCCAAGTATCATAGATTGGAATGGGTGGGGCATGAGACCCTTGCACCAACCATAGATGTTGGTGTTGCTGATATTGAGGCCTGTTGTCAAGATGTCAATAATGCTAAAAACAATGAAATTAGGAATTCAGAAAACAATGAATTTACATAGCTCTAATGTTCTTGATAAAGGCATGAATCTAATACTCTCTGCACTGTATCTCATTGCCTTAAAAACTGTCTTGTCACTGGTATACCACAATAGTTACAAAAAAGAAAAGACTTTAGTGGGTTTGTACATACACAACCCACACATTCATAAATGACAATATTTATACCCAGATAGTATTTTTTAATACTATTGTACACCAAGCACAAGGCCCAAGAGCCCCTCAAGGTCGAGGGTTACTAAAGTGAGGTGGTTGTAAGTGTAAGGGAGTAAGAAGTGCATATATTGCGAAGATATGTAGGATAGTTGGCCCTAGACTTGAAGAGGTTAAGATTATAGTTTTCAGGGAAGCATCTTTTTCAGTTCTAGGGAAGAAACTGTCTAGGTGGAACTTCTTCCTTACTAATGAAATAAAAAGGGTATGAGGATGAGTTAACTCAGTGTACACAGCATGGTGTGTCTTAGCTGTGAAGGTCTGAACTGGTGGAACTAAGGAATGTAGCTTGTCTGAATATTTGCCATGGAAATAGTGATTGAGTAGTGAGAGGCTAGCAAAGTTCCGTCTGTGGGAAATGGTTGTGGAATTAAAAACAGTTCCTCATCACAAGGCCCAATAGGTGATTTTGAACGCTGTCTTGGATAGAAAGTGGGGGTTGGGCAACTCCAGCTCCATTTTTGGTCTGATCTGGCTCTTGTAAACATAGACCTTGGCAAAATGAATCAGATACATTCTGGAACAGTACAAGGAACCAACAATTTTAACAGTTAAAAGCTGTTAAACTTTTTCTTAACCTTGACAGGTGGCCATCATATGCCTCTTGTTTAACCTGTTGAGGGAATTGTATTTTTGATCTCTGTCAATTTTGTCTCTCTCTCTCTCTCTCTATGATTCCACAGGTTAAAGATGCCTTTCAAACATTTGTGGAATTCTCTGAAGATGTCCAAGATGTCTTGGCTGGAAAGTGAGGATTGAGCAACTCCAGCTCCATTTTAACAGTTAAAAGCTGTTAAACCTTTTCTTAACCTTGACAGGTGGCCATTATAAGCCTCTTGTTTAACATGTTGAGGAAATTGTATTTTTGTTTTCTATCAATTTCTTATCTCTTTCTCTGAATGATTCTTCAGGTTAAAGGTGCCTTGAAAACGTTTGTGGAATTCTCTGAAGATGTCCCAGAGGAGATATATGAATCATCGGAGCTTGATCTTTGCCTGGAAAAATTAGATGACTCTCATAAGATACTCAACTGCAATGAATTCAGTGAAGTAAGTAAATGCATTACTTATTCTTTCCTAATTTTTCAATTCTCCATCTCCTCAGATCTCTTTTCATTCTGCATCAACCTTTGCAAGATTCCCGACATATTCTGCAAGGAAAGTTGGGTCACTGTGTTGTGCCTTGCACATTTATGAATGAAAATGAGGAGGACTGAGGAAATGGCAAAAAAAGGAACAGAGTTCAAAAGACAGAAGATGGCAATTGATGTTGCACTTAAATTTTTGAAGATTGTATTTTTCAGAGAAGCCAGAATTTTGAAGAGAGTTCCACAAGCAAGAAGTGCGAGAAAAGAAACTATTAAAATAGAACTGATGGTTGCATCTAGCTATTTCAACATTAAAATGATGAGACCTAATTGCCAATCTAGTATGATGCTTAAATTCATGTGGTTGAGGTACTAAGGCAGAAAGCGATATTTATTCTGTTTAATAAAGAAATGTGGCACATGGCCGAAGGGGGGATTGGAGAATAGATGGGCTTCTTCTGTCTTAACTATAATTTAGCTAGCCACAAACGTTGACCCAATTGCACAAACAATATTACTTACACCAAAACAACATATTCAATAAAAATTGTTGGCATTAAATGACCCATTGAGCTTGATAAGCCGTAAAACAAGTTTTTAGGGACAATCTTGCCAATAATTAGATTTCTCCAACCTGTAAGTCAGTATTTCCCTAATATATAAATTTTATCTTTATATTCTTTTCACTTTGATTTAAAATATTATATATATATATATATATATATATATATATATATATATATATATATATATATATATAATTAAGTAAACAAAAATCTTGGTAATCTGTATGAAATCCTGAGAGCTCAATGTTAAGTCAGAGCGAATAATTTAATTTAAAGAAAAACAGACCACTTTAAGGCTCCATTTGTTATAATTTATTTCACCAGAGAATTTTATTTTTATCTGGATCTTCAGAATTCACTTTCAAAGGTGAAACGAAAAATGAATTTAAAATTTATATATATATATATATATATATATATATATATATATATATTAATTATTTCACCCTAAGCAAGGTGGGAATGCCAAGAGTATGCAGGGGGGTTACAAAGTGAAAGTGAGAGAAAAACTGGGCATAGTGGGATTGAGGAAAGGATAAAAGATGATCAGTTATTCAAGAAGATAGTCACCCTGGGTATGACAATAAGCTACATCTATGTCCTGGGTAAAACTACATTTGACAGCAAGGCCTTTGAGTGGGAGGTTTTGAGGAGTGTGGAACCACCTCTTACTTGCTGGTGTTTCCAGGTCCACCCTGGCCTGGAGTGGTAGCACCTGTCAAGATCCCAGCTATGGGCAAATAGTTAACCTCCAAACTGGGTCAAACACTATGAAAGTATACAAATGCACTTTTATAGTGAAAATACCAGAAATGCATTTTCATAGAAAAAAAAATTACTAGCAATAAATTTTTTTGAAAAAAAAAAAAATTACCAGCAATACATTTTTGTAAAGAAAATTACTAATGCTCTCAAGAAAATTAAATTTCAGCAATTGTGATTGTATTGCTATATCCTTAAACAGCTAAAACCACTAACCACACATATTCTACACTTAGTGAACTATCTCTCTTTCTAACTCTTTAATAATATACTACATTAACTCCCCCTTTCTCTTTCAATCTGTAATAGAAGTCACTTACTACAAGAACAATTAGGTCAGACAGGCTGGGGACCCCCGTAACATGTCCAGACGAAAGCTAAAAATAGATTCTCACATGCAGAATCATGTGATCAAGTACGAATGTTGAGCAGGAATATTAGAAGGAAACAGTTGTGGCAACAAATCTCGAGGGAGTTGAACCAGACCTGAAACTGCCATGCACATGGATTCATCAAACTGAAAAGAAGGAATGCCATCCCCAACTCACACAAACTCCTAATACAAAATTAATTGGAAACAGAGTCTAGTGGAAGTAACATCTCTTTTCACTTGTTACTGTCAAGCAGAGGAAACTGCACAATGAAAGCAAGTTCCAATTCAACTCAACACACTATGCTGCTTATATCAAATGCATAGGTGAATTACTAAGCGTGATAATCACCTAAGACTGGCATGTGGGACTCACTCAATTGGATGCAGGCTACAACTTATACAACACTAAATCTTCCTACCTGATTGATGAATTCTACATTGCTGAATATATGAAGAATAGAGTAAATGTGGCTGAGTGGTTAGAACATTCGCATTAGGACCATGAGACCCGGGTTTGAATCTCCTGCTGTTATCGGACTGGAGGGGTCGATCTCAGCATGCGGCAGATTTGGAAAGTACTTGAAAATCATACCATGACATACTTGTGAGTGAAATTGGGTGTTGTTGATAGCTGTGCTAGCATGAAGTCACAAGTCATTATGGCCAAAGGCTTGAATGTGCTGGCCTTGTTCAAATTGCTGATCATGCTAGATAGCACGCTCTTTCTCAGAAACTGTAACTAAGGTCTGCACAGCATAACTGGAATATAAACCACAGGTGGGCTCTGTGGGTGTAAAAAACACAAATGCACATGAGCAAGTATCTGCAATAGGGATTGGCTAGCTACCCTAGTAGATAGGTATCCTTGAATATGTAGAAGTCAAATGACTCACCTGCTAACATGGCTACTGTAATGTTCTGCGCAAGAAGCTATCGATGCTTGCTAGGCGTCGATTAATGCCTTGCTAGGATTTTAGGATGGTTCTTGATTGTCCCTCCGGTGATGGTAGCCTCCTATTCCCTCTTGCTGCTAAGCTGCTGATTAAGATTCACCAGATGTCTGGAGGGGACCTAACTCTTGTGTCTGTATGGGTTATCTCCCTTCTGTTGCTGAGATATTACAGCTGCCTTCTTGTATCTTGGAAAGGCAAACCAGCTAATTCTACCTCATTTATAGGAGAGCACCTAATGCAGCAGGTGGGTAGGTCTACTTTGCTGGAATGGACCTGCCCAACACATTTGCATGAGTGGACTCTATTCACCCATATATCTCTCCATTAAATGACTCAGGACTGCATTTTAGCTTGAAGTGACTACACCAGTCTACTTGTGTGTCAGACCACTTGCAAGCCAACCAGTATTCTACAGAATATGAGTGACCAGCTATACCATACCAGAATAAATGACCAGCTTATGGAGTCAAAACTCATAACAGTGAAAAAGGAACAATATATCAAAAGATATCACTGCTCTAACGAAAAGAACTAAACAACTAAACTGAAAATAAAAAGAACAAAAGAGAAATATAAAACAAGATAAAGAGAGGGAAAAGAGAAAACCCTTTTTTTATTACAGGCAAAACACTGAAGCTAAGTCATTGTTTTGACTTTCCATTTCATATATATAATGCATACACTTTTCCACGCATTCTCATGCATTAATATCATTATAATTAAATCTCGTTAATTTGTATATTGGCATTTGTTGTTCACTGTTAGCTGTTTCTCCTCATTTGGATATTTTGACCCTGTAGAGAATTCTTCCACTACAGACTGGTAAACCTAGTTATATCCTTTGGCAACAAGTTGTTTTTTTTTTATCTTTTCTTTTAAAATTTGTGCTGCAGTAATTGTCTGTAACAGTATGTAAATAAAATGAACAATATTCTGTTGTATTTGCTTTAAGAATTTTTTTATGCTTGGGTTTAATAAATAGTAAAGATAGACGTTATGAACTATTTAAAACTAGTGGAATTGGTAGAATCTTTTAGTACAGTGTAAAATAACGTATTTCTTTTTTAATCATTTCACCTCCAAGCATGGCAATAATTCCACTCAGATACAAATGGTTATTACTGGCAGTGAAAGAAAATGAGAAGTCCTTCAGATAAGGAACTGGAGACCCAATCCTAAACAGGAAACAAGGGATAAACCCCAACTCCTGTTCAAAAGACAGGGGAAGAGTGTAACCTGGATGATAGGTGAACCTATGTAATATTTAGGAGAGAAAAAAATAATAATTAGTTAATAAAATTTCAGAGTTAGAAGTATAGAATTGAAGAAGACTTCAGGAGGAGGAACTGGAAACCCAATCCTAAACAGGAAATGAAAGATAAACCTCTACTCCTGTTCAAAAGATGTGGAAGGTGTGTGAACCGGGTGATAAACTTTAAAATAACTTTTCTTTTTCTTGCTTTTTTTCATTTCTTTTTGAGTTGTTTAAATATCAGTCGTAGTGGAGCTGCTTAAGATTTAATCAAATTTATGTACAGTTGCTTATAAAGGAAAAATGTCTAACACTCTTGAAGAAGTAAATAATGCAATGGAATATTCACAGCCTGTTCTGATTGACTGTTTGTAATAAAGTTTCTTCTCTGCATTGATCTCTTGCAGCTAATCCTGAATTATACAGTCAACATGGATAAACCTACTTTTAATTTATTTCTTTCGCACCTGAACAGGTGCGCTGGTGCCTATCAATACTCAGTTAATTCAGAACAAAGACGTACAGTTTTGATAAATTTGTTTGTGGCTTGTGATCAAAGCCAGGTAAGTGAAAAGCTTTTTAACATTCTGTGTGTTGTGTTGCTTCAGGACATGGATGATCATGGCTCTCCACTACTTCCTATGTTTTGTAGCTCTTGGTATGGTTTGTCTCTTCACCACCCCTCCCACTCCCTGTTCTGCAATCCATTTACATAAAATTGTTAGGTAGGTGATCATGGCTCTCCACAACTTCCTATCCGTTGTAGCTCTTAACAATGTTTGTTTTTTACTACCTCTCCCAGTCCCTTTTCTTCCATTCCATGGATTGTTAGGTAGATTACTTGCTGTTTCTCTCTTGCCTTCAGTATGTGCTGTGAGTTTCAAATTTTCCAAGCCTTCTTTTCTCATTATATGTCCTATAAATTTCAACTACCACTTTCTGATTTTAACATTGTTTTCAATAAAATATTTGAAATCAATATATTTATCAGAATAAAGTTGCTATAAACAAAGAAACTACTTGCAAATAATGTCATTTAACAACAAAAAATATGCAAGTAGCACAACACTCAAAATGCACATGGAACCTCAAAAATAACAAAAAAAAATAAACAGCACCAGCTTAAAACTGTACCAAAACATAAGTAACCTTTGCCTATAGGAGAAAATAGCAATATTCACCATTCCAGAACAATATAAACACTTAAAAGATGAGAGCTCATTTACAAATACAAGCATGAATACAAATACCTATTATGCTACCAACAATTACATCACAATTCCAAAGACAAAACAATAAACTAATAAACATTTGGTAAAGTTGAACATTCATGCCCACAAAAAAAAAATGTCAAAAAGCTGGTTTTTCCCATGACACTGCTATTATTTCATACGACCTTCACTCCCTCGGCAACATTTATTGTTTTAAAAAGTGATGATTAGAATTTTTAATAAAACCCAAATATATGAAAGTGAATTTATACATTTTCTTTTCTTGAGAATTGACAACAAAAATCTTAAATACACCATTTTTGTTTGGACTATTGTTCACATCTTTGTTGTCGTTATCACAACTTTTCGGCTGTTATACCCATCAGGCCTTCCTCAGGTATATATTGATCTGCAAAGACTTAGGGACTCAAACTCCTGAACAAGCCAAAGGAGCTAGTTTAAATGCCGTCCGAAAGGGCATCTTTTAAGTGAGTTTAAATGGGTAACTACAGGGAATTCTGAACTAAACCCTTTATTTAATCTATGGGGGTAGACTGTTCTCATTCCACTGCACATGACTAGAAATATTATCTAGTTATTATTTATAAACATTGGCAGTTGAATGAGAACAGTTTACCCACGTAGTTTAAAGAAGTGTTCAAGTCAAAATTCCTTGTATGTTACCCAGATCAGTATACACCCGACAAAGGCCGGAGGGCACAGCAGCCAAAACATTGTGATAATAACAACAAAGATGTGGACAATAGTCTGAATATAAATAATGATAACTCTTCATCCCAGAAATTGAAACAGAGAAAAGAAATATATTAAACACTTAGATTGTTTATTTACAAGGATAATTTTATATTTACAACATTCTAAAAATGTGAACCAATGCATACAATCCAATATTTATCATTTACCAATTTATAATATGTAAAAAATTTTTTATTCATAAAAAATTCATACTAAAATATTAACTATTCATTCATATTAAATTTACAAAAATTTACTAAATTATAAAAATATATGAACAAATTATAATGAAATCTTTATGTGTTATTTTATAAAGAATTGGCAATTCATGATGGCGATGGAGAACTTCCAATCCCTTGTAACTCTAAGCCTACTACAATGAAGTGCTGAAACAATATAGGCACATTACTCTTCCCTAAATTTGGTTGCTATTGTTATACTATAGATTGAAAGTGTACCAATCTGTAGGACTGTTGCTTTTTTATTTAAATTTTGAGATCATTGACTTGCCAAACATTTAAAAAAAATCAATTTGCCAGCTTCACTGATTGCTTAGCGTCCATTCTTCAGTTATGATTTCTACATACATGGCTGACAATAAATAATCTTCTGGCAGATTTTCTAAGCATTTTTATAAAAATTAGTAACAATTTAAAAAAAATTATTTTAAAAAAAGTGAGTGATGCAGGAGTAACATCTAATTGCTGGGGTTTCAGGCCTTGGATTTCTACTGATTAGGGATTCTTGATCCTATATCACGATTATAAAGAAAATTAGAAAAGTTAAAACAAAAAGTGATCTGAAATATAAAATAACTTGAAGGAAACGTATAATGTCCGAAGAAAATCATGTTTATTTGAATTTTCTTTTTTCTATAGTTCCTCGAGATTTTTATAAAATTCTAAAAATTATTAAAATTATATTTTTATAAAATAATTAATAAAAAACTTGGTTTCATAGCTATTAATAAAATGGTAAATAATAAATATTAGATTGTAGCTGGTTGATATATTTTTAAAATTTTGTAGATTTTTATAAATCTTTCAAGAGAAAGATTTCTTTTCAAATTCATTTAAATTTTTTTATAGGGCATTTAAACTAGCTCTTGTGGAATGCCCTTGATTGGACCTTTGGCTTATTCAGGAGTTTGAGTCCCTAAGTCTTTGAATATTCTCAGCATTGGAAGATCTGGCTGCTGTTTGATCTGGCTTTTCATTTACACAGGACTTTCTTTTCCTTGCTGCAGCTCTTTTGATTGCAATCTGGTCCTCTGTTGGCAGAGATTTCTTTTTGCAAGGCATACTGCTGCTGTATGCAATAGGCAATAATAAACTATAGAAGAACTAAAAACTGATCACTGCATTTAAGTATTGCATTAATATTTAAGCTTACCTTTTAAAAGTTCAACAATAATTCTTCTGCTGCCACTTAATTTAAAGACAGTTTGATGTTCGTAGGTCCTTACTTTTCGTACAAAAAATTATTTCGATTTCATGGGTGACTTTCGCTGGGTTTTCACAATTAATTTTGATTATACCCAAATTTATTTTCAAGTTATAAAAATTATCACCATACAAAAAATTTGTTGCAAAAAAATCACGTATAAAAATTGTCAAAAACAATTACAGTGATGGAAACTTGGGAATCCAAAATTTCTGTAACGTGAGCTATTGAAAGTTAGATATTTGTGTCCCTGTTAGGACGAATAAAAATATATCCCAAGGGAAATAACTCTTTCCTGTTTCAAACAGAGTACCTCCCTTTTGCCCCTGTCCAAACCACACTAGTCACATGATCAATGCGGCTTTGAGATGCAAAACGCGCAAAACTCAAGAGACTTGGAACATGGCTATCAAGGAATAAGGACACATATATATTTACCTGTCCTAATGGTTGTGACACACAACTCAGTAACTTGGAACTGTGATTTTGTATATACATATATATATGTTGTAAGGTTCTCCGTGTAAATAAATGGTTATTTCAAGCCAACCGTGAGTAGCAATAATTTCCTTCTTATCGCATCACACGTTTCTCCATGTGCCACACACACACATATTCATCCATGGACTGTGAATTAAAACTGCATACAAGGCATTTCATTTAATAGTTATGAGACAACAAACATGCCGTTCATAACAGTCCCTTTAATTGAAAAAGTGTGACATAGGGACACACTGACATTTGCATTTATTATATAAATGTAAATAAAAACATTGCAGAGGAAGTCTTGGTCATATACATTAACAGCAGTGTCAACAGAAAAAAAAAAATCCCTTTGACACAAGATTTTTTTTTGTGTGTGCACAAAAGTTAAACTTTGCCAAAGTCTTTTTGAAATTAAATAATGAACTTTACAACCAAAGAAAGTATGCAAAGAAATTACAAATGATAAAATTGAAATAAATATAAAAAGTCAAAGTCAGAAATAAATTATAAGTGTATATTTAAATTGTAATGTTAAAAAAGTACCAGGAAGTAGCAAACAAAATCTTGTCAACAATGATGGTCAAATTTACTTGAACAAAAATGAAATACCAGGATGTAGCCAACAAAATCTTGTCAATCATGACTGAGATGATCAAATGTACTAGAAATTAGTAAGTTTTTTTTTCTCTGTTAAGTGTCCCAGGAATTCTAACTTTTTGTTGTTAGTAGTAGTTTCCTTGTATTCCTGTTCTCTGAGAATTTCCTTGTCATATGTTCCATTTAATGTATTCTCATCATTTGTTTGTAGAACCCACATCACTGTTGCTTTTCTTAATCTCTGATGCAATTGTCTATCATTCATGATCATACAAGAGATTAGATATAACACAACAGTGTGACACCCACTGGTGGTCACGTTGCAGCACCAATATGTGACATCCTCTGGCTGCGACGACAATATGTGACACTGCGCTGTCAGCCCGTGGTCAACTCCCAGTTGTGGCGTGAAGCTGTAAGGTTTCTTCCACTAGCGTTTTGGGGTTGACTCTTTGTCGCTGCCACCAGCCTGTGTCCCGGTCGTTCCCGGTTTGATACCAGCTTTGTCGTTCCCAGCTCACTTCCAGTGTCTGGTTACCAAAGTAACTACTTTGATCTCAAGTCTAACCTACCCACGTTGCGACTTTGATTTTAGGTAGATGAAATCAATCAGGTGTCGGGCCATAGTGCAAGCTGAATCCGGGGTAAAGGTGATATCGCGCAAGCGTAAGTAAAAGAAGCAATAAAACAAACTCAAAAGGTTCAAATATGTTGAGAAATAACAAATTATCCGTCTGTTATATACAGGAGTGTGTTTCTCTCCCAGCCTGTTTCTATAGATTTGTGATACTTTTGTGTTTCTTAAGTGAGTTTTGGTATCTTAAGTCGTTCGTCAATATAACTTGCTTTTTCGTAGGAAGTTGAAGTCGGCAGTGTGGGTGTGGCTAGACTAGCCCAACACCTGGTTTCTTCTGCTAATTCAACTTTTAGCTGGAAGGTCCATATTTTACCTGAGAATCAAATTCTTTATTTTTCTCATGCCTTAAAATCCTCTTATCACCAAGTGCCCATTTTCAATGACACTGTGTCTGATGTCAACAGTTTGAATAAGCAATAATAATATGATTTTCTTTCTCATGCCAGAATTCTAACACACACCAGATGGCTCCCTTCGTTGGACCCAGGAATTAAAATTAAATGATATCTCTGAAAGATAACTAATATCGCTTCTCTCTGCTTGTACTGCGATGGTCCCAAGCCCAAATTTTTTTATGGCCACCATGTGTCAGTTGGCTTTGTTTTTCTTTCTGAATTCTGTTTCCTTTAGCGCGTCACTCCCTTATCATGACATTAATCAGTTTTGACAGAATCTCATATCTCGCTTTTTCTTACAGATTTTCTGTCTTGTGCGAAAAGTATCTTTCTTCGTAAATAAAATAAAATCTTTTTAATGTCGCTCAATCTATCTTTTGACATAGCTCTTTCTCGCCTTAAGTCTTTCCTGTTTTTAATTTCTATGGTTAATTAGTTAGCCAGTTACCATAGCTAAATAGTGTCACAACAGTTCAGAGCTTTTTCCCTTGTTTCTAATGATATTTTCCTTTCTCTTAATACTTTGCTTAGTTTCTGATAGTCATGAAGAGATTAACAGCAGTTCAGAGCTCTTTCCTTTGTTTCTAATGATATTTTTCTATCTCTTAATACTTTGCTTAGTTTCTGATGGTTGTGAAGAGATCAAGATATAACAGCCGTTTAGAGCTGTTTCCTTTATTTTTACTGATATTTTTGCAGTATGGATAGCAGCTCAGATTGAGGAATTGGAGAGCTGAGTTCAAATTCTAGTCAAGTTCGTTACATTCACTTACATGATAATGCTCTTGGGAAGGGTATAAATCTAAACAAGGGTAAGAGCAGGACTGATTGTCCCTTATAGCCTTGGCTGTAAACTAGTCTAGGAGAAATAAAACTGAATTCAAACCAACCTGGAGAGTGTTGAACTCTATAATGTTGTCTTGCTCATGAAACACTGCTGCTACTCCAACTGAATTATATGTGGCACTCCTACAATCCTTATAGGATTTGTGATCATGATGGTTGTACATAAATATGTTGGCTTGAGAAACTAGGGTGTCTCTTAAGAAAAGCAATATTTAAAAAAAACCCAAAAAAAACAGCATATATTAACACTTAGATATCATACAGTAAAAATTTAAATTTATATTCTTTTTAATAACTGTGTGATTCTTAACAATGTGTGTGTGTGTGTTGCCAAATTTCTTTCATCAACATTTTTTTTGTTTTTGTAAGCTGGGTGTGTTGGATCGTCATCGTGTGTTAGGTTTGTTGGAGGAGTTCTGGGAAGACACCACCGAAGAAATGAGAGCTATCCTCAACCATCCAAAGAGATGTAAGTGACATGTATTCTTTAACTATTATGTTTTACCCTTTCTATTTCTGAAGAACAGTTTCAGCAGAAGTCTATTAGAGCTGGCTTAAAAAAAAACGAAAAGAAATAATCCTATTTTAATTGCGATTGTTATTCCCTATGTTAGTTTGCACGATCCTTACGCCCTGCTGCCAGTACCTCATAAATAATGTACTATTTTGTTTTAATTGCATTGAAAGAGGGGATTAGATACTACTTGGTTTCAGTGAGAAAATGAATGAAAGAAAGAATAATTTAATTACTTATTACAGAATATCCTATTATAATTGTGCTTATCTCTCCCTTTGTTAGTTTGCACAACCCTTAAGACCTGCCAATACCTCATAAATAATGAACTATTCTGTTTTGATCATATGGAAAGAGTGAAAAAGACACTACTTGGTTTCAATGAAAGAATAATTTAATTACTTATTACAGAATATCCTATTATAATTGTGCTTATCTCTCCTTCCATTAGTTTGCACAACCTTTAAGACCTGCCAATACCCCATAAATAATGAACTATTCTGTTTTGATCATATGGAAAGAGTGAAAAAGACACTAATTGGTTTCAATGAAAGAAAGAATAATTTAATTACTTATTACAGAATATCCTATTATAATTGTGCTTATCTCTCTCTTTGTTAGTTTGCATGACACTCAAGACCTGCCAATACCCCATAAATAATGAACTATTCCGTTTTGATCATATGGAAAGAGTTGAAAAGAATAGAAGATAGAAGTAGAGAGACAGAAAGAGAATCAGATTAAGCTGATAAGAACAGATACTATACTTTGATCTTAGTTAAAAGACCAAGAAGCTATGCCAACTGCAATAAAAGTACCATTTTTCAGACACACAGAATTGAATGACAGAAAATGAGTAAAACAATTGCCTAAATTCCAGTTACCATAAATAAAATAACATTGCCCGATGAATTATTTTAAAATTATTATTAAGTGAAATGTTCGTAAGGTGGAGATTTGGTTAGTTATAAATCATGAGGCATGAGCATTGGGAGAAAAATGGAATATATCTAAATTTGGATGACTTCTGCCACTTGACATTTTTGGCCAGTCTAATTAATAAGGCAGCTGTCATGGAAAAAGCATGATACAAAAGAGAAGAAAGTCAAACTAAATTTGAGGATGACAATCTCGGCATCATAATAAAATGCATAAGAATTAAGATGAAAGAAATAATATTCAAAATATAATAATTGATAATGTTTTATCTAGAAAATTCCAATAATGTATTGCGTTACTAAATAGTAAATGAGGATACAAGGTGCTGTAAGTTTGGATGTGTGGATGGTGTAATGGATAACGGCTTGAAACTGAAAATCAGAGAGCTCAATTCCAATTCCGGTTGTGTTCATTATATTCATTTGCATGCAAATATCCTTGGAAAAGGTGTGAATGCACCCCTTCTCCCACCAGCTATGGGTTAATTAGTAAGACATATCACTAAACTATCATTATCTCCCCACTAAAAATTCTCAATAGTGGAAGAGATAATGGCTTGGAACTGTTAATCAAAGAGGCAAGTTCCAGTTCTTGTTGGATTCGTTATATTCATTTATGTGCAAATACCATTGGGAAAAGTATGAATCTACCTCTTCATCCTCCAGCTATGGGTTAATTAGTAAGACGTTTATCACTAAACCGTTATTATCTCAAAAAAAAAAAAAAAAAATTCTGACAATCTAAAAATATTTTCTGGCTTTAAATAACCAGCAAAGAGTTGACAAGCTGTAGATAATGAAACAATCAAATATATAACGGAGATTCACCATGGAAGTTTTTTTAATCAATTTATGCCAAGCAAGGCGATAATGTCAATAAGACACAAAGTGCTACTGGGAGTGAAAGAGAATGAGGAGACTTTAGAAGGAACCAGCAACCCAATCCTAAACAGGAAATAAAAAGTAAATAAAATTTCAGAGTTTAGGTGGAGATGTTAGAAGTATAGAATTGAAGTAGACTTCAGAAGAAACTGGAAACCTAATCCTAAACAGGAAACAAGGGATAAACCTCTACTCCTGTTCAAAAGACCAGTGTGAATCTGACGATAGGTGAATCTACCTACTCCTATAAGATGATAGGATTTCTAACCAGAATAAATGATTTTGTTAAGAGTAAAGAGCGTCATTGGACTAGAATTCTAAAACCTAAAATTTCCAATGTTGTACAAAGACTAATTTTTTTTTTTAAATCTTTTTTTTAATATATTCTGAAAAAATATTTTTGATACTTGTTTTTAAAATCAGTCTATATCTCTGAGATGAGGTATTATGATTACTTGCATTATTTACATTATTCGGACTGTTACCCTATATCTTCATTGCTATATTCAGAATGTTTCCGTCATTGTATGCTCCAGCCTTCTTCAGATGATTGGGATTTCAAAACGAACCCTTTATTTTGTTCACCAGGGTAGATTGTTCTAGTTCCACATGCCATGCCTCTTCCGGATGTCTCAGTTATTTTCCTTTAACTCAACAACTCTCTAAGTTTTGGTTCACCACTCCTGTGACCTGGTATTGAACTCACAAATCTTTAGGTCTAGTCACTGGATTTAACCAACATCTTTATCCACTAGGCCATATGTCAAGACACATGGCCCAGTGGATAAAGATCCAGGCCATAGCAACAGTGAACCAAAAGAGGTGTGTAGCAGAAATGAAATGCCAACATAACAGCCAATTGCTACTGATAATGGTAACTGCCCTCATCAGTCAAAGAGACGACATTTAGTGTACTGTCTCTGCAGAAAGACAAGCACATGGCTGGCATGCCAGAACAGAGCCAGTGCGAATGCTGGAACATCTGGTTATGAAGAAAGAAAATGTTTACCAGCTTCCCCCTGGAGTAGTCAAGATGGTGAGCTGAGTGGTGTTAGCTATGCAAATGAATTCTTTGCTAGTCAACCGCTAAAGTTTTAGGCTCCATAAAAAATGGCACATTCTCTGGGAAGGGGCAGAGCTTGGCAGTACAGCGGGTTGAACACACAATGGGATTATCATGTGTTACCAAGTATTTTTGTTCGTGTTACCCAGTGCCATTTCAAATTTGTTCATCCTTGCTTGTGTTTTCATTGTGTCAGCTGTGTTCGTCCTGTGTGTATGTGTGTGTGGTGTCATCAGGATTCGGTGTTTAATTCCGGTCCTGATGAGATTTCCATCCCTCTTTCTTGGCAGATACTCAACCAATAAGAAGAAAATCTGTTGTAATCAGAGCTATCATGTTGGTATATCCAGAAAAAGTAATTCCTGTGGGCTATAGTGGCTAAACAGGCAGGTATGAACCAAAGAGAAGATTTCGGCTGAAAGCCAGCATCAAGATAAAAACCACAAAGAAAATTCAGTGGCACAATTTTCAATAGGAAGACTAAAAATTTTGTGCCAAAAGGCATTGTGAAGAAAATCACAAAATGAATCTCAACCTGTATGCTGGTAAACCTCTCTCTTGAGTGGTTTGTAACATATTATTTATCATCTCTCAGTTGCGTCTCTGTCTTTGGGCAGAGTGCACTCAGGGGCGACTCCGTCAAAGGACAGAGTCACAACTGAGAAAAATTATATTGAGAGGTGTCCAGCCCTGGGGAACAGCTGCCCAAGGCTATGCCGTCTCATTGCACCAGAGAGAGGGATCGGTGCTCGCACCGAGGCCAGCACAACCGACAGTTGCGGGGACTGCGGGCAATTTTTGTTCCTAGCCTGGGTGTATGCGCTCAGGTCCCCACTTTAAAAACTGACCTTGTGTCACAACTCATCTTAGTGGTGAGACAGAGTAAATACCTAGTATGCTGGTAACAGAAATAAGTCTTGTGAAAGAGGTGGGAGGTTCATGCCTTATAGACGAATCAAAGGAAACATCAACTGACATGATAGCATGAACCAAATTGTTGAAAGGCTAGAGTTACAATGTATGACGTGAGTCAGGCAAGGAGGTATGGGAAAAATTGAGTAAAAAAAAATGTTAGTCAGAATTATTCAGTAGGGATGTCTACTATTTGACAGAGATTAAGCAACAGAAAAATTAAGTCTGAGTATCGGCAACATGAGTTGTATAAACATAAATTAAGCCATTTGACATGATGAGCTTTAAAATTGCCAAGCACGAAAATGTTCCCAGATTACTAGTTACATTCCACCACTGTCAATCAGACCCTGAACTACTGTGTCATGATGAATGGGTGTCCTGCTCAAAGAGAGACTGTGCCTTGAGAGAATGTTGGATGCAGGTAAAATGATTGGTTCCCTGTACCGCTCCAGTAAGTACCTGACACCTCTTGCTATCCTCTACCTTTATAAGAGCCAGATGAGGATGAAAATTGCTTATGGTCATTAATTAAAAATTGTCATTTCAAATTTCGCTTATACAAAATTTTCACATCCTGGCCTTGTCTATTTACTTGTTATTTACCAGATGTTTTTCCTCTCGGGGGGGGGTCAGTTGTCCTCTGAAACCCCCTGCCAGGATCGTTACACTCCAAATACCTTAGGTTACACAAAGAGACCATATTGTGTTTTCATAACCTGGCCTGTGAATGGCCTCCTTAATCAACTGTCAGTCTTAAAGATTGCCACATGGCTTCTTCGTGACAATATCACTTTTCTGTAGTAACCCTCTGGTTTCAGAAAATTAGCTTCTCTTTTGAAAGAAAAGAGAAATCTTCATTCTTTTTCTCAGTCTAACCCTTCTCGTCTCGTTCCAAGCTATGTTTTTTTGATTTAGCCCCTTTCTTTGCATTTGCCAGTGCTAAATAGTGTTATATATATATATATATATATATATATATATATATATATACTAGCAGGCTTTGCCTGCTCACTATCACTTTAAAAAAGGTAAGATATATTCACTACTTGAAATATTTTAAAACAAAAATTTTAAATGAACACTTCATTCATAAATTAGCATGTTATGGTTAAGGAAAGTTTTACAAATAGATGCCAACTTGTTGAAGGCCAAGTAAAATGCAAATTTCAAACACTTTTCTTCACTACCTAAGACAATATTCCTAAACAGAACTATTTCTCATATGAAAATCAAAACAATCCTTGAATAAAAGAATACTAATAAAGGACAGTTAATTAATATACTTTTTTAAAATCAGTATGCAAATTAGTTAAACCTGAAGAGTGATATCACCTAGAAGTAGAGAATATATAGTACAGATATTGAGCTTTTAGCATGTAAATTACTATTAAGTAGAGTTGGGATTTTTTAACCCCAGAATTTGTTGGATAATTGTGCTTCAATTTTGCATTTATTCATATAGATTCCATAATATAGGTTTTACTTAATTAACTATTATGTTTCTCTAACTCTTCAAATGTTGAATGTATAACTAAATCTAATTTCCCATCTTTACACTATATTAATTTTATCTTATAAATTGTCCCCTGTTATGTCACCTATGAAATAAAAATAATTGTTTGTATGGAAAATAAAGACCTATGTACATCAAATCATCTTTAAATTAAGTGGCAGCAGAAGAATTATCGTTGAACTTTTAAAAGGTAAGCTTAAACAGTTATTCAAAACTTGGACCAGTGGATAAAGCCATTGGTTAAATCCAGTGATTATACCCAAAGAGCCATGAGCCCAATACCAGACCACAGCAGTGGTGAACCAAAAAACTTGGAGAGTTGAGTTAAAGGGAAATAACTGAGACATCCGGAAGAGGCATGGCACATGGAACTAGAACAATCTACCCAAGTGGATGAAGTAAAGGATTTGGTTAAAAATTCCAATCATCAGAAGTCTGGAGTGTACAACGGCCAAAACTCTGTGAATATGGCAAGGAAGATGAGAATAACTGTCTGAATAATGTAAATATTCAATGCTGCACTCTCGCTACTTCTTAATTACTTCTTTGTAGTCCTCCAAATTGAAGATTTCCCAGGTTTCCATCACAGACTCCTTCATTTCCCAGGTTTTCCTCACAGCCTCCTCTATCTCCATGTTTTCAAAATGTTTGATCTGACATGCTTTACTACTTGGCCACGAAGAATGTCACAGTTGAGCAATGTTTTATTTTCCCTTTTCAAGGAAAGTAAATCCTCTTCACCAAGATTATTTTTCTTGAAAGCTCATATCTGTTCAGTTTCATATCCATAACGTAAATAAAGCAATTTCTAAAGAATTAAAGGATTAATTTTTAATCCATTTATTTACATTTCAGATACAAAACCGAGCAGATATTAAAAAAAAAAATAATATTCATTTTCTTTCATCTCTCCAGGAAATGGTGGATCATGGCTCTCTTTGACTTCCTATCTTTTATTGCTTCAAGTATCTTTTGCTTCTTTATCACCCCTTTTTTTGTTCTTGTTCTGCCATCAATTCACACCCATTAAGCAGGTTCTTTGTTGCTTTCCTTTACTTTTCTTGCTTTTTGTATTTCATGTGAGTGTTAGATTCTCCAGACCTACTTTCCTCATTACCTTTCTGGAGAAGGCATGGCAATTTACAAATAATGACAGAAAGGAATTTGTGCAAAGTCATAATTGTCTATGTTCTGAAGTGATATGGCCTCAAAACAAAATAAGTGTTATATTGTGAGGCTAAGTACAAGTACTGGTAGTCTGGTTTAAGATTTTCTGACAAGATACCTCAATTTGGCATAGGAAATTTGTAAGATTAATATTTATTTTTGTCTATTATTTGGAACGAAAAGGGGTTTTAATTTTCATCAAATACAGTTGGGGTCAGCTTACCATAAAATTACTCAGTTTCCCTTGATTAAAAGAATAAAAAAAAAAAAGTAAAAATTCATGATATTAGTAAGTACTAAACATTTTAAACACCTCGGCATATGAAAAAATTATAACAAATTTAGTATATAGGAGATAAAGAAACTGAATACAGAACAGGCTGTGCTTGGGATAGTTTTGTACAACAGGTGTTAGAGAACCAAAACATTAACTTAAAAACTCTAGTCATATACTTAAATAGTCTTGTCAGATCAAGACTTTCATATGGATGTTACCAAACTTGTTCAGAAATATCTAAACTGTCAGCTGTATATAATCGCTTTCTCTGATCAATAATCAAAAATGGCTTTGAGCAAATGAAGCATGTAGGTCTTAGTGAGGACTATTCTTTTTTAAACTTTGTGGTTATGCGATCACAAAGAAAACTGTACCAAATAACTGATACCACATCACATGATGTCTTTAAACAACAGTGCTAATGAAAATGTATAGCATGTGTAAATCAAAGAGAAAATACTGACATAATTAAAATGTTGATGTTCCACACGACTTCAACTATAAAGCTGGGAAAGAAGCAGAGAGTGATATATTAGCAGATGTGAGAAACCTGTTTTCCTGAAAAATTGTTTTAATAGAAAGATTTTATAAATTTCAAACACTGGCTGCTTGCTCAATGAATACTGAAAGTTTCCTTATAAAGAAACAGTTAACCTTCATCACACTGTATGTGACTTAATATGCTGTATAAAAAATTGTCACTGAAAGTGACTATTTCCTGAACTATAGTGTGTTTGAATTTCATAGATGTGTTGTCATATCCTGCTATGGCAACAGAAAACAAATTTGAGTGAAATTAACAACAAGGCTACAACAATTGAGAGGTTTTGAAAAAGAATTCAGTGGAAAGGGAAGTAATATTAATAATGAAGAGTGCTAAAGGTTAATATTGTCATTAGCATTAGAAATGAGGAGAGTAGATAATACACTTTGATCCCAGCTCCATGGCCAGGGTGTGAAGAAAAGCGGAACTTGAATAACACTAGCTACTGAGCCAATGAATGCTGAATGTTTCCTTATAAGGAAATGGTTAATATTACCATTATCATTAAAGTTGAGAAGAATAGATAGTGCACTTGGTACATTATTTATATTATTTGAACTATTGTCCTAATCTTTGTCACCATATTTATTACAATATTTCGGCCATTGTATGCTCCAGCCTTCTTCAGGTGGTTGGAATGTCAAACTGAAACCTTTATTTTGCTCACTGGAGTAGACTGTTCTAGTTCCACGTGCTATGTTTAATGGATGTCAGTTATCAGTTATCTCCTGTTAATTTCCCTCTGAAAGTTCTCCACTGCCTTAACCAGGTATTGAACTCACCCTCTTTGGGTCCTGTCACTGGATCTAACTAACACCTTTATCCACTGTGCCATGTGTCCTCAAGGACCCAAAGAGGGTGAGTTCAATACCCGGTTAAGGCAGTGGAGAACTTTCAGAGGGAAATTAACAGGAGATAACTCATAACTGACATCCATTAAACATGGCACATGGAACTAGAACAGTCTATTCCAGTGAGCGAAATAAAGGGTTCAGTTCGACATTCCAACCACCTGAAGAAGGCTGGAGCATACTTTGGCCGAAACATTGTAATAAATATGGCAACAAAGATGAGGACAACAGTCCGAATAATGTAAATAATGTACATAATACCTCATCTCAGAAATATAGACAGATAGTGCACTTGGTATTTACATGTCCACCCATGGTGGCAGAATATAGCATAAGGCCTGTTTAATGTGGACAGCTCAAGTGTGTGCACATGGGCCAAGTTCAAAAAATGCCCGGTCCCTGAAACCAATGTTGCACTGGCATCAGTATTTCACTGATCCTCTCTCTTTGATGCAATGAGGGTGGTACTGCTGCAGGGTTGGAATCCTCAGGACCAGGCATCTCTCAATTATTTGTTGTGTTCTGTCTGAAGCCAGAGACATAATTGAGCGATAAAGTATAGTTTATCCTCCTGAAGGCAGATACTACACTTTGATCCCAGCCCAATGACTAGGGATTGAAGAAAAGTGTAACGTTTCACATAAAGTAGCACTGAATGCTTCCTTATGAGGAAATAGTTAATATTATCCATTTTGCATGATAAAAAAAGAAACTGGTTTTTAAAAAGAATACTCACCTGATAACTATCTTTGCTGCCAGTGTTGTGTTCTTGCTTGAAATTTTCCACTGCCATGCTCCACAGTGATGGCAACAGATACTGGAGTTTCTAACCTCTCCAAACAACAATGCTGCATTGTCACAATAACCGTTTTCACTTGAGTTTGCATCGTTCTTGTGGGTAGTGAGTGGATTTTTCTGGGTTTTCTATTGTTTCCACCCAGTCAGCATTAAGAAAGCTGCCTGGCGCATGAAAAGGCAGCTAAGGGTGAAACAACAGCAACAGCACTGACATTATTTCAACCACCTGATTGCTATCCTGACTCAAGGAGACGTTTGACAATGAAAGCATGTTATCTAGAATTTTTTACCATTTTTTTTTTTTTTCAAACTACTTCAATTTTTAATAATTTACATTTGTCATTACTGGATATGCCATCATGCACATTGAAAGCAGTCAGTGAACCATGTCTTAAGAAAAAAAATAAGATTCTAAGTGATTGACTTAATATTATGTAAAGTTCTTATGTTCTTTTTTAGTTCAATTTCTTGTTTTTGTTGTTTTAATTACATTTTCATGAAAAGGTTTATTTTCCTTCTTTTTCTCTTTCATATTTTTTTCTTTTTTCACTTAGATGTTCTCTCCTTCTTTTTCTCTAAGGTATTTTTTCTCTCTGTCTCTTTCTCTTTCCACTTTTTCTCTCTGTCCCTTTCTTTCCACTTTTTCTGTCTGCCTTTCTCTTCCCAACCTTTTCCCTTGGCCTCTCTCTTCCCAACCTTTTCCCTCGGCCTCTCTCTGTTTTCTCATGCCCTTTCTGTTTTTTCACTCTCACTTTTTCTGTGTTTCTTCTTTTGCCTCCATTTCTTCCATCTTTCACTTTTATGCCTTTTAGATGGTTTGACTCTTCATTTTTTCTTTTTTCTCCTTTCTCTATTTTTACCACAGTATTTACCTTTTACCTTGTTTTTTCTAGTCTCCTTTTTGTCCCCACCCCAGTATTTTCTACTCTACTATTTTTTCTCCCCTGTATTTTTTATCTCTTTTTTTGTTTTCTGCCTGTATGTTGTTCTCTCCTTTTTGTCCACTCTGTTTTCCTGTCTTTTTAGCCCCACTGTATTTTCCTGTCTTTTTGGCCCCACTGTATTTTCCTGTTTCCCCATATTTTCCTGAATTCCTTTTGAGCAACCCATATTTTCCTTTCTTCTCCACTCTATATATCCTGTCTCTGTAATTTCTTGTCGCCTTTTTTTTGTTCCCAAGTATTTTCCTGACCCTTTATCCCCCCTCATTTTTTCCTGTCCCCCCCCATGTTTTCCAGTCTTCTTTTTTGCACCCCCTGTATTTTGCTGTTTCTTCTTTGCCTTACCATATTTTATTTTTCCTCTCCCACCCATATTTTCCCGTCTCCTCTTTGTTATCCCCCACTGACGTATTTTCCTTCTTCAGTTTGTCAGAAAGTGCATTTACTTTTCCCCTTTTTTGCTCATCTTGTATTTGTCCCCCACCTCTGTCTTTTGGCCCTAGTTCTTTCCTTAATCTCTACTTCCTTTTTTTTTCTTTCTTTCTTTTTGCACTCTGCTTGGGTTGATTTCATTTCTCTTCTCTTGTGTTTATTTTTTCTTCTTGCTTTTCTCTTTATTATTTTACTTTTTTATTTCTCTCTTGTCTTTGCATTATTTCATTTGTTCCTTTCTTTCTATTTTCATCAATCACATTATTGTTCTCTCTTTTTTATTACCTGTTGTCTATCAATTAAATTCACGTCTATTTTTCATGTGGTTGCTGCAAATACTGTAATTCCACCTTTTTTCTTAGTTTCTGGAGCCTATCCGCATATAATGACTTTCAGATAATATTTTAAATACTTTTTAAGACTTGTTTTTTATTTTTATTATCTCCCTTTAATTTTGCATACACTGTCCTTGACAGCCAGAATAAACACTTTCGTTTCTGATTCTGAAGATGAACATAAAATCAACTGAGGAAAAAAGAAAGCATATAAGGCAATAAAATAATTCTATACAGAATATAGTGTAATAAAAGCATCTACAAAATAATACATAAGGCAATACAGAACATCTATGAGGCAACATAAATGTATATGCAAGATTTAGTGATATTAATAGGAGCTCATAGGTTACTGAAGTTAGAGGTTCAGGTTATACAAATATCATTTGTCAAGTCACTTTTGAAGATGCGCAATGTTGTGAAACGTATATTCTGTAATTTACTGGGAGACAATGGTTTTATGGAGACAAAAAGGCAAGTTGAAAATTGTAACCAGAATTCAGTAGCTAGGTGACTATTATGTGTGTGTGTCAAAATGGTGGAGAAAGTCAATAATTCTTTTAACAAAAATGTTATTCTAAACCAGATACCTGATTTCAAAAACACTATATGTAAACATACACATTATTTAATTTTATATTTAACCATATGCCATATTTGACTGCATATAATATGCACTTGAAAATGGCTAAAAATCACTCTGCAACTTAAATATGAAGTTGAAATCTCTCATAGTCATATTTTATCCCCAATGTCAATTTTTGTAAGAGAAGATTTCACCTTGGAAGGTCATGTCTAACTAGCCTGATTTTATATTATTTACTGAAATTGTGTGGAATCCTTGCGTTCTAATATGATTCCTAGTTCTGATGATTCCCTGTCTTTGCACTCCACTGCGCGCTTGCTTTCCGAGGACTCACTGTCATGGTCCACTCCCTTGACAGAGTGAAGGTCTCTAATATGGTGTGGTATCCCATTGTCCAGAACTAAGCATAGACTATAATGTCCAGTCACCACTCCTTTTCCAAATTCAGATGGTGTGTGGGGCCTTCACCCACACTACATCTCTAATTTTGTAGGTCGTATTCTCCTCACATGCCAGTGGAGATGCAATGTCTATCCCTTTTACCCGCACATGGTAGGTGTAGATTCCCTTTGCCAGGGCTGTGGATACTGATGTATCTTCCTTTGGTGTTATATTGTAGAGATATACTGCTTCCTCTACAGAAAACTGCTTTCAGGCAGCAATGTGCTTGATGGTATGATGACACCTTTCCACTGTGCCATTCCCTGCCAGGAAGTGAGCACATTGAAAGTGCAGGCAGATGCCCCAGCCTTCTGTGAATTTTCTGAATACTCTCAGACAGAATCCTGCACCATTGTTGGCGAATAGCTCAGTTGGTGGTCCTTGTTCAAAGAATATTGACTCTATCCAGGTGATGCTGACAGAGTTCTGATGAAACAGTGGGCACCAGTGGAGAACCGAGTAGGGCCACAATTGATCAGCATCAAGGAGTGCCCACCGCCAAGGTGGGTCATGTCCACTCCTATTTGGCATCAAATGTCTGTTACATCTAGCTGCCTAGTCTTCTACTCTACTGGAGCCGGGTCTATAGACTGACATGCCTCACACTGTCCCATCACTTCCTAAATGACAGCTTCGGATATTGCAGTATTGATCCACCTCACAAGATACGTTGTGCGCTTTGTGCCAGGATGTCCACTTTGCTGATGAATACTCATTATCTGGGCAGAATCATCAATAGCTATGGTGCACACTGGCTGCTTAGGCTCTGCTTTCTTCCATATTGCATTGAGCCATCACTGCAGCACCTTGGTGAGATGATCAGCCCAGTTTGCACTAAACTAAGGCCACGTTGATGGTTAGGCTTTATTCTTTGGAAAGCCCCTCCAGAGTGCTGAGCCAACATCTTAGCATCTTTGTGGTCACTTTGGTGCACACTTTCGCCCTCCTGATCAGAGTTTCAGAGATCCACTGGTGCACACATGCTGAATTGGTTAGCAAGTGCAACACTGTTGTTTTCCATTAGAGTTCTTGATTAGTGCATCTCAACACCGCGTCCAGCTCAGCAAGATTTATGTGCTGCAAGTCTCCATCTAGACTCAACCGACACACATCTTCAACGATTAGCTTCCAATGTTACTTCGATAGCCAGAGAAATCACATCAACCCACATCTTTATTTCTTGACTGTGCATGAACCAATTCCCTCCTGCAGGGTCGTCCTGACGTACTCTGATAACCGTTTTAGTCAAGCGTTGCAGGTCTTACATCCAAACCTTTAGTCAGCGCATTTGCCCGTTGCCTCAGAAATGCAGTTGCTGGTCAGCTAGCCACATACTGGAAAGTAACCAGTGAACTTCCTGTATACAGAAAACGCGCTTCGACAATTAATGGTGGCCGGAACTGGTGGGATCTTGCTCCCTTGTCCACACTGAAGTACACCATACTCTCTGTAGATATACAAGCCTAATACTTTCAGCTTCTCAGGTTCTTTGCACAAGAGTCCAAAATTGGTAAAGAGCTTCTGGACTTGTTTCATTGATGTAAATATAGTCAATGTATGCCAACGTCTCAATGTTTAATCGACTCAACCTGACTAGTACCACATCAGTTATCAATTGTATTATAAGGGGTGCTGCATTCAGCTCAAAACCAAGCCATGTAAGGCAGTAGCTATGGTGCCTCAGATGTACCGTCTGAATTAAGAAAGATGCTATAGTTTTGGTAATTTTTTTTTATTTTCCCAAGTACTTTCAATCTCATCCAAGGTCATCTTCAAGGGTGAATTGCTAAGACTGGGTTCTGTAGACTTGGATGGCAACCAGCCTAGGAAAAGGAAAATTTTGAAATTAGTGGCATATCAACTCCATATGTGTCATTTAATGCTGAAATTTAATTTTCTTGATGTAGTATATTATTAAAGAGATAGAAAAGAGAGACAGTTCACTAAGTGTAGAATATGTGTGGTTAGTGGTTTTGGCTGTTTAAGGATATAGCAATACAATCACAATTGCTGAAATTTAATTTTCTTGAGAGCATTAGTAATTTTCTTTACAAAAATGTATTGCTGGTAATTTTTTTTTTTTTTTTTTTCAAAAAATTTATGCAAATGCATTTTATGAAAATGGATTTCTGGTATTTTCACCATAAAAGTGTATTTTTATACTTTAATAGTGTTTGACCCAGTTTGGAGGTTAACTATTTTTCCATAGCTGGGACCCTAACAAGTGGTACCACTCTGTGTCAGGGTGGAACTGGGAACAACAGCAAGTAAGAGGTGGTTCCATCTTTCTTAAAACCTCCAATCTCCCGATTAGATGCCTTGCTGCCAGATGTAGTTTATTGTCATATCCAGGATGAGGGAGACAAGGTTAAAGCTGCAGACAAATATGTCATAAGAGGTGGTCAAAGTAGAATCTACTGCTAGCTTGCTTTTTATATACAGTAATGTTTTTTGTTAAATTGCTTTTGTAATGAATTGATAGATCATATAGCCTGCATAAATACATTAAAAAAATTTTCTTGAATATGATTTGCTGAAATAGAGAGTGTTCTAATATTTCTGTGTTGTCAAATATGGTATTTTTTTTAATGAAGAGTTATTTAAGGAGAACAGCTTAATTTTGAGACAAAGCCACAAGTTTCAGACAACCAGCAATGATTGAAAATATTAAAGCAGTCAGCTGTAGTCAGAATCATCAAGTCAGTGAGAATGATACTTTCCTTAGTTATATAGTATGTGTTTCGCCAGGACTACATACAGTTTTGAATTCAAAGTTTTCCTTTTCCTAGGTTGGTTGCCATCCAAGTCTACAGAACACAGTCTTAGCAATTCACACCTGAAGATGAACTTGGATGAGATTGAAAGTACTTGGGAAAATAAAATAAAATAATGAAAACTACAGCATCTTTCTTAATCTGTTTTGTAACAATTATGATTAGTGAATATGATTTGTAACATTTATAATTAGTGAATATAGTTTTCACTTAATAATAATATAATCTAAAAGGTTGAAATTAGTGCAGAACTTTTAAAGTTTTATAAGTGTTTCTAATTAAAATTTTAAAAAATGAAAATAATTCTTGTAAAAATTCTTTATTCATTGAATAAAACTTTTTCCTTATGACAATAATGTCCTTAACATATCTTATTTCTAAAAGCAATTAAAAGTTTTTCTAATTAAATAATGTCATACTTTTATTGTATTTTTTTATTTTATGATTCGAAGCAGATTTTCAGTAAATGGTGTTGCTGTTTGGTAAAAACAAATAGACATTTTAAATTCTCCAAGGAGTCCTGCTTTGAAATAATATAAACATGAAGAAGCTGAAATTTTAATTTCTCGAAATTACATAAACTAAGTAAGCCGTTAACAGATGTAAAGAAAATATTTTTACTAAGATTTTCTAAAAAAAAAAAAAAAAAATAAAAAGAAAGAATAAAAAAAATAATTTCTTTCATTTGCGAATAAGTCCTGCAAGTTTAATTAAATAAAATCTGACAATTATTTGATTTTTGCATGAATTTCCAGATCAATATGTTTTTTTACTGGGGAAAAAGGCACTAAAACTCCCATAGTAATCTTCGGTCCACTGCTAATGCAAAATCCCCAAATTTTTAACCAAAAATTTTCAACATGCTAGAAAGGATTGAAAAAATTAATGAAGTAATAAAAAATACTTTGGTCTTTCCTATTAATATTAACATAAACATTTTGGTGATAAAATTTTTTTATCAAGTTTGAGGCATTTTTTCATCATTTTATTTGACAGGGCCAGTGGTTGAAGTGGAGGAATCTGAATACCCAACTGATGAAGTTAAACCTACCATAGCTGAAATCGAGGTATTTGAGATTCTTAAATTTAATCTAAATTTTTTAAATTAATCAGAAAGTGAAGTGCGGGTATTTTAAAAATTGAAATTCTTGAATCTAATTAGAACCTAAAATGCAGGTAGTTTTATTCTTCAAACTCATCAGAATATGAAATGCAGGTATTTTAAAAATTGAAATTCTTGAATCTCGTGAGAACCTGAAATACAAGTGTGTGTATGTAACCATGACATTTGACACATATGCACACACACATGCACAAACAAAGAGGATAAAATCAACCTAACACCAATAATAAGAGTGCCCATAATAAGTGTATAAATTAATTACATTACTTGAAACTTAGTAAAAAAAATAAAGAAAAATGAGAAAAAAAACGGCAGTCAATTACTGAAACCTCCTGATGAGTGGACTGAATAATTACGAAAAAGGTTCGTATATGAAAATCCGGAGTTGAGGTGCTTAATATAACATCAATCAAGTAAGGGAAAAAATTTTATATTTGTATTAATCCTATATATATATATATATATATATATATATGACAGACAAGGTACTGTAATTAAACTTTTTATTTAAGTTTTCTTTTGTTCGAACAAATTTTCTTTTCTGGATACAGAGTGTGTAGAAACTGTCCAAATGTTCTGTAATTCCAAATGCTTTCGGCTATACTTTTAGCTATTGTCAAAGATGATTTTATTCTTATTTTGTGTGTATATATCTAGAGTTATAGGGACGTTTTATTTTTTTGAACACAGTCAGTACATTGTGACCATGTTCGTAGTTAATATTATTGAATGTTGGCATTTCTATTATTAATTTTTTATTATTAATTAATCCCATTATTTTTAATCTTTTTTTATATGTGGATGAGGTTATTACATTTGTTTTTCCTACTAGTATGTTTACAGCATCATATCAATGCATGTTCTATTATAAATTAGTTTAAAAGCTGCCGTATTAATTTAAACTAGCTCCTGTAGAGGACTCTTGGTCTGGCCATCATCACAATAGCTAGGGAGGAGTAGATGTGATAAAGTATAGAAGAACTCAAAATTGATCACTACATTTAAGTATTGAATTAATGTTTAATCTTACCTTTTAAAAGTTCAATAATTCTTCTGCTGTCACTTAATTTAAAAATTATTTGATGTAAATAGATCCTTATTTTCTGTAAAAGCTATTATTTTTATTTCATGCATGACAGAACGGGACAATGTATAAGATAAAATTAATATAGTCTAAAGATGGGAAAATAGAAATTAGCATTAGTTATACATCCAACATTTGAAGAGTTAGAGAAACATAATCACTCGGTAAAACCTATGTTTTAAAATCTATATTATGGAATCTAGATGAATAAATGCAAAACTGGAGTACTATTATCCTACAATATTTATTTCTGTAAAATTACAGAAAATGTGGCACAAGGCCTAAAAAAGGGGATGGGGAAACGGACGGTCTTCATCTGTCTTAATTTAAACTTAGCTAGTCACAAGCACTGATCCAAGCATGCAAACAATATTTCGAACACCAAAACGACACATTCTTACTAGCCTTTTTTTACTACATCCATCATAATACCTCATTGTCTCGATGAAAATTCTAAATATATATGTACAAATCGTTGTATGTGGGGAGGGGAATAAAACAACAAATTAAAAAGATCCCCAATGAGTATATACAATATGAATTAATCTATATACAAGAAACTAAACAAAATCATTGTTAGTAATAAAAAAAACCCACAATACTTAAAATGTGGCAGAAACATCAGTTCATTGCACGAAATCAATGCGGGCCTATAAAATATAAAAAACATTCATTCATCCCTAGCACTCATACAGACACACACTCAACCAAACACGACAACAGAGAACAAAAAAAAGCACACAGGCGAAAAAATGAAATGACCTGCATCCACCAGAGAACTGACATTACTGACCACCTAATGAGGGAGGGGATGGGGAATTAAACTAAAGAAAAAATAGGGACAGAAATAAAAAGGGGCCAATAGTATAGTAATTTTTACAGTAAAATTTCAATATCTATGTTACATATTTTCTACTTCTAGGTGATATCACTCTTCAAGTTTAACTAATTTGCATACTGATTTAAAGAAAGTATATTTCATTAATTCGACATTCCAACCACCTGAAGAAGGCCGGAGCGTACAACAGCTGAAACATTGTAATAAATATGGCGACAAAGATGAGGACAATAGTCCGAATAATGTAAAGTCATTACTAATGATTTACTATAGGAATGCATTGAAAATCAGAAAGAAAGGAATTGTCAGTGGTCAGGAATTAATGCAAGCAATACTGAGAGATGAGGGCTATTATATGTAGAATGTAAATTCATTACTAGTGATTTACTATAGGAATGCATTGAAAATCAGAAAGAAAGCGATTGTCAGTGGTCAGGAATTGCATGTATTGTTCATAGTATAGGACGATTTCTATGTAATGTCTTAATTCCAAAACTATTATATAGATCATAACTGAGGCTAAAATTAATAAAATGTATTTTTTTTATTCCAGGAAAATGAAATTGGAAGTGAAGAAGCTTCTGGCGCAGGTGATTAATTCAATATATTTATATGTTTGCTTATATATAGAGAAAACAAACTTGCTTTGAACGCATGATCAGTAAATTATTTTTTGATATAATTATTTCATATAATGTAGAAACTGTTCAGTCAATGAATGCCAAATGTTTCCTTATAAGGAAATGGCTAATATTACCATTGCCATATTTTGTTTTTGTTTCTGCAATTCTGTACGAATACTCTGTGTGAAAATTAAAATATTTCTTCTGTTCAATTTGAAGAAATTATTATATTTTCTTATTTAATTCTGATTGCCATATTTGTTAGAACAGAAGACCCCATTTTAAACGGGACCTTGATTTTGATCTTTATGCATGTCTGTTGTTAGGAAAGAAGACTAGGCAAATTTAACACACCCATGACAATTTGAAAGCAAGAGAAGTAGAGGGAAACAGTATGCAAAAAGTATGACATGTTTGAAAAAATAAATCTAGGGATAAGTAGCATAGGTGAAATGGAAGGTCGAGCAGCACAGGTGGTTGGAGGGCCGAGCGGCACGGGTGGTTGGAGGGCCGAGCGGCACGGGTGGTTGGAGGGCCGAGCGGCACGGGTGGTTGGAGGGCCGAGCGGCACGGGTGGTTGGAGGGCCGAGCGGCACGGATGGTTGGAGGGCCGAGCGGCACGAGGGGTTGGAGGGCCGAGCGGCACGAGGGGTTGGAGGGCCGAGCGGCACAGGTGGTTAGAGGGCCAAGTGACACAGGTGGTTGGAGAGCAGCATGTGTGGACAAAGGGCCAAGTGACACGATGATTGGCAGGTTGAGCGGCACAGGTGGATGGAGGTTCAAACAGCACAGGTAAATGGAGGGCTGAGTGATACTGGTGAATGGAGTGGGGTGAGCAGCATTGGCAGATGAAGGGCTAAGCAACAGGAAGAGAATGAAAAGAGTCAATTATAGCTGAATGCAACAAAAACTAAGTTCAAATAGTTGTATCTATGCCATCTGGGTAAGCATTATACCGAAGAGATATTTTTGGAGTGGGGAAAACAGTGGGGATGTCTGCTATCAAATATGGTAATTGTTAACTTACTTCTCTGAAACAAAAATCTTTTTTTTTTGTTTTCTGTCATGCTTTTGTTTTTCTCATCACAACCATTGCAACAATAAATTTTATTCATTCATGAATTGTGTCTAAGTGGAAAATAAAAACATTTGTCCAAACTGGTGAATATTCTAGTGGAACATGATCTTGCAATGTGACAGAAAAAAATATGCACTGTGAAACAGTCCCCCCTCTCCAACATAATAGTATGTACAAAGATAGATAAATAAATCCACAGACTAACATATATTAATTACTTAAATTTTGATTAGAAAGTGTCACTGTTTTATACTTTTGTAATTAATAAATAGAATTAAGTGCAATGACAAGAAAGGAGATTATCTAGAGTTCTTATTTATTTTCTTATTCATGTATTGTAATCAATTAAACACTCCATATTAGGAATAAAAAAAAAATGAAATGATTTTTAATTTTTGGAAATCATATGGCATGAACATTTATGATTTTGTAAGGGGATTAACTTATAATAAATTAATTTATAATAAATTTCCATAGCAAATTGTACCCTCTATTTATTTTCATAAAATTTAAATAAAAAAATGTTGATATTCATGATTATATATATATATATATATATATATATATATATTATGGCATTAAAGGCAAGAAATTTTTTACTATAGGCCATGATAAATTTTACAACAAAAACACAAGTCGACCGGTTTTGTCCCCTCTCGGCAGAACTGTAAACGGGGAAACAAATTGAGAAGAAAGTCTGTCGCGGATGATGTGAATGAATGGACAGGGAAAAAATATAATAATAAAAGTTATAACACCAAAGATGCTAGAGAGACAGCACCGCAAGCCCAAGCAAACAGTCCCTTTGTTTACAAAGAGCAGGTCGCCTGATGAACAGCGTCTCCAACACCTTCAGATGGAATAACGAGTTTGCTCTGGCCAGAACAGAGAACTAGCTCACTCTAAAATCCATAGCACAGGTTAGATTATTTATCAAGTGATCCACTATAGAAGGCCCATATGAAGTAAAAAATTTCTTGCCTTTAATGGCATAATACGTTTCTGTACCATTAAAAACATATATATATATATATATATATATATATATATATATATATATATATATATATTCACACTATAGTTCAAAAGTTTGAGGGGACCCTGGTAATTTTTAAATTGATCCAAAAGTAGTTTTGTACTTTAAATAAGAAAATTATTATGCATGCTTAAAAAATGTGAGACATGATTTTTTTTATTAGAAACTTTACTATGACAAAAAGAAAAAAAGCATTTTATGATTAAATTTTGCTCTTGTCAAAATAGTCTCCTTTAACCTTGATTACTGCAGCACAATTTTTTGGCATTTGTTGCAAAAATTTCTCAAAGTATAAGTTTGATAATTGATTTCATTCTTTTGTCAATGACTCTAAGAGCACTTTTTCATTTTCACTATTTTGTCAAGTTCATTCCATACTAATTCTGGAGGTGGCTTCAAACTTTTGAATTGTGTGTGTGTGTATATATATATATAAGTTGGCCAGAAAGTCCTGATTCACTTGGGAAGCAGAAAGAAAACAACAAAATTTTATGGTGCAACACCAACATTTATTCTTCAAAATAAAGTTCATCATTCTTGATGATCTTCTGCCAGCGATCAGCTAGCATCCAAAGTTGTCTCGAATACCAGTCTTCTGGCTTTGAATAAAAAACTAATCAAGCTTCCTTCACTTCATCAAAAGTGTTGAATCGCTAGAGGCAGAGGAAGTGTGCCATTGAGTGGAATAAGTCATAGTCACTCAGAGCAGGATCGGGATTGAACGGTGGATGTGGAAGAGTCTCAACACCATCCATCTTGTTGAACTTCTCCTTAGTCAACCTGTCAGTGTGTGGCTTTGCATTGTTTTACTGAAACAAAGCCTGACCTCGATTGACCAAAGCAGAATACTCCTTTGGTTTGTCATACACGCAGTCTAGCAATACAGTTTAGCATTGATGAAGCAACTATGTGGAACAAGCTAAAAATGCAATACTCCATGGAAATTCCACCAAACAGTGTGTCAGGACTTTCTGATCAGCCTAGTGTATATATATATATATATATATATATATATATATAAAATGTATTCATATATTATATATATTTAATTTATGCATCTGTTTCAAAGGTTTAACTCCTACAGAAGAGCCTTCAATCATGGAATTATTAAGCATAGGAAAGAGGAGTGTGGATCACATATCGCCAAGCAAGGAATCAAAAACTTCAAAGTCTGATCACGAGGAAGGAATCTCACCTGGTCCAGACATTGGAATGAAAACTCCAGATGTAACCACAAAATGCTCTACTATGGGTAAATATAAAGACTTACTTATTTTTGGAATGTGAGTCAATGCCAAGAACTTTTCAGCACCCTGTCGTAAATTATTTTTTTTAGTTTGGGAGGAAATGCTGTTTAAAAGATACAAAGTCAAAACATTTTTTTATCTTCATAAGCATTTTATATTCCTTATTACTATAAACCAGTTCAGACCTTCACAGCCAGTACTTGACATATCATGTACATGGCATCAAATCATCTTCATTTCCTTTGTATTCCATTAGTAAGGAGGAAGTTCCACTCAGACATCTTCTTCTCCAGATCTGTCAACTACATCTGGCAACAAGGCTTATGATTGGGAGGTTTTGAGGAACTACCTCTTAATTGCTATTCCCAGAGTGGTAGCACCTGTTAGGGTCCCACCTATGGGCAAATAATGAACACCCAAATTAGTGTCAAAACATGAAAATATAAAAATATACCAGAAAAAATTACCAGCAATATATTTTCATAGTAATAAAAAATTACTAGCAATACATCTTTTGCAGGGTGGGAGAGAACACCAAAGCTCACAAGAAAATTAAATTTTGGCATTAAATGACCCATAAGGAGTTGATATGCCATGAAACAAACTAAACCAACAGAACTGACATTCTATAGAACAGACTCCTGAGAGTATGCTTTCCTGACCACTTGCTCCAAGTTCACTTCAGGAAATTTGTACTACAGGATTAAAGCATGGTTTATGAATTTGGTGATAATTATGAGTTCAATCCCTGGGTCAGACAGTATGTACTACTGTAAGTGGAAATGGGTGAGCAATAACTGAGAAGTACAAAAAAATTGTATCTCTAAACATGAGCAACAGTCTACCCTCACAGATTAAATAAAGGATTCATTTCAGAATTCCCTGTAGGTTACCCAGGTCGATATACACCTGAGGAAGGCCAGAGAGCACAACGGCAGAAATGTTGATAGCAACAACAATGATGAGGATAATACTCCAAATGTAAATAGTGTAAATAATAATTCCTCATCACAGAAATTCAGATTGGAATTTCTCTGCTCCCAATTTGGCCCAGTTGGAAAAAAAAACTTTTTATGAATTTAATACAAATTTTAATATTTGGTCTGTGGCAGGGATTGCTTTTTAGATGCTATCAAATACTGTACCTTTCATCCTGTCTAGACTATTGATACATATCAAAACATGACCTAAAATGAGGGATAGATTTCTAATCATTTTCTTATAGAAAACTAATTCTCCAGTTTATGTCCTCACCACATTTTGTTAAACCAATTTTGATTGCTTAGAAACCTACTTCCAGATGTTACCATATTTTATGGCATGTAAGTTCCTTTCCCTATCATCAGCTGATAATACAAGGAAAATAAATTGTTCGATGGTACATTGACTGTTACAGGATCTTACCCATGTTTCCTATAAATATAAGGGGAAAAAGAAAGTTGAGATATCCCTAGACATGGGCAGTGGAGTGAGGTCTACTCCTGTAGATTAAATAAATAGTTCAGTTCAGAATTCCCTGTGTTTACCCAGATTGATATACATCTGAGGAAGGTTGGAGAGCACAATGACTGAAATGTTGTGATAGCAACAACAAAGATGAGGATAGTAGCCTGAATGTAAATAAGGATAACGCTTCATACCAGTAATTCAGAATTTTAATTTAATAATGGTTCAAAAGTGGAAGAGTAGCAATTTGGATCTGCAAAAAGAGGTCATAAAATTGTTCCTTTCAATGGAAATGTTAAAATTCTCAAGATTTAGGAGAGAAAAAAAAATCATATGCTGATGAAAAAAATTTTTATTTCACCACATAACTGTTATTATAGTATATAGTTATAATTATTCTGTTTCATTTTTAGTTATTGTTGTTAATCTCTTAATATGTCTAATAAGATTTATGGTAAAACGAATCTTCTACCTGTGACATAACTTTTATTCCAGTATGTTGTTATTATTGTTTTGTTTTATTATTAGTAATCATTGTTAATCTCTTATTGTGCCTAATAAGATATATATATATATATATATATATATATATATATATATATATATGTATGTAGTACAGGTAATCGATCCGTTGGTATATAATCTGGGTGGATCCTAGTAATATTAATTATTAAAACTGATCCACAGAGAGCTCGAGGTATTTATTATAACAGAGCATATGTATTTTTTACAGCGAAAAAACAAAAATTACCTCAACATAGAGGATAGTCTATTTCAAGGCGTTCTGTACGCAGCTATCATCTTTTAGGCTGATGATAGCGGTGTACAGAACGGCTTGAAATGGACTATCCTCTATGCTGAGGTAATTTTTTGTTATTTTTACTGTAAAATATATATACACTTTAAAAGTCAGGAAGTCAGTTGAATCCTCCTGATTTTTAAAGTTAAAAAAATACTACTTTTGTTTTTTTTTACATGTGTATTGAGCACTTTTTAATACCACTGTTTCCTGGTTTGATTCAACTCTGACAATTAACCTTTTATGTATTTTATATATATATATATATATATATATATATATATATAAGTGGAACCAATGAACAACTCGTCAAAGACTTACATACCATTAAATGAGATAGACTCTTAAAAAAGGACAGCAGTAGTAAAAAAAGAAAAAGGCCTAAAAGCAAACAACTACCAACTAAGTAAATTTCTCTACAGCTAGAATACCTAGAGAGAGGCCCCAAAAAATGCTCAGTA